CCCAGAGGGCCGGGGCTGGGGGGACCCCAGCCGAAGGGTCCTGGGGTGGCCAGCTGGGGCTGGCAGGGCCCTCAGGGCCCTCACAGAAGGAGCTTGACTGCAGACTTCTGGCTGACATTTCTAGCTATGCTAGAACCTGTGATGTAAACGATGTCATCACATTTACGGCATAACTTTTCTAAGAGTTTAGCCAGCGCCTGTGGAAACACCATGTGGCCAGCAACAAGCCTTGTTGCGTCCCGCCTTGGATCTCTGCCCAGGCTGAAGTCAACTGTTTGTCCAGTTTTCTTCACAACTATTAGGCCTTGGGTTAGGGGAATCCCGTGCCTCTCTCTCACGCAGGGCTTCAGTCTAAAAATATGTATTAAACAGTTCTTACTCCTGTTGAAACTTGTTTAGAACATCTACAACTTCAGTATCAGCCCTGCTATTTTGTTGTCTGTAATCTTTTATAGCAGCCTTTTTTGAGCCTTAAGTAATGTCTGGGAAGATATTTATTCCTTCCATCAACTCTTCCTGGACTAACACTGCTGCCATGGAGCAGCTGGCATACCAAGGCTTGTAATGCCAGTACCTGTGTGCATGGTCCTCTTCCTAGTAAATAAAAGGTAATTCAAAATACTTTGCCCTCAGTGAAGTAGGCATGAAACAGCTTGCTCTTCCTCTTGTGTAAGAGCCTGAGGCACAATTACTATGGAGTAGCTGGTACAGAGTAGCCTATTATTAAATCTAGGCAGCATAAGGATACTTTTAATACATCAAATAGATGAATATGATTGGGTTCATGATAACCCACTAAAATGACTCAGAGCTTGACACTACTTATCTGCCCACTGATAAAACAATTATTCCTTTGCCTAGTCCACACACAGTAATCATCAAAAGTAACACTGAATTCAGAGTGAAAGGGGGTTGGGGGACTATGCCACCATTTTCAATCAAGACGACGTGTTGACGTTTTCTTCTCAGCTACAAATAATCCTTTTGCCCTCTACAGGAAGAACAATCACCGTTGTAATTTAAAAAGAAAAATGTATTGGAACAGTAATAGAAAAAAAAAAGCAATACAACAACTTTGAAATTGACTTTTTAAGCAGGGCAACTGGTTCCTCTAACTTTCTCTTCTGCTTCTAAATGCTGTTAATGTAAACTGCATAATGTTCCCAGGTGACTCCAGTCATAATGAGTATAAATTCAGTCCTGTAAAGCACTGTTTACGGGAGAAATTCTGTATGTTTAAAATGGGTTAACTTTTTTCATGTATCACTTTTCTGATGAAAAATGTTCTTTCAATAGACACCAGTTTTTGTAGGAAAGTCAATTTTTATTTATTTATTCCTCTCACCAAAAATGTTTTAGAACTTCTGTCTTCCTAGTTTTTTCATTTAGGATTTTACATCAGGGTATTGGAGAATCTGTTTCTCCACCCACAAAGGAAATTGTGAAAGTTTTAAAATAAAAAGATACTTATATCTAATTTAAAGTAATAAAATCTATTTATTAAAGATATAACTAAATTTATTAAAACTACTAATTAAAGTATTTGTTCCTAAACTGAACCTGAGAATTTATGGGGCCATATTCAACTCAATATTGGATTGAATTTGGATGAATACATATTTTTCTAAAAAAACAAAGGTGTCTCTGTCCCTATTCCAATCTAATCTTGCATTATCTCTATAGAACTATTTTTCTGTCAAACTTTCACAAAGTGATTTTGACATAAATACATTGTTTTACCAATGCTAACCCATCTCAGTTTGCTGTTGTCTCATCACATCATTGATGTTGCCCCATCCCGTAATTTTTGTCTTCCTCGAGCATTGTATATCTTTAAACACTTGTGATTCATTTGTAACTACTATTCCACTCCTTCTGTTATAATATATGGTTCTCCGTCCTGTACCTGTACATCAAATTCTGCTGTTGTAGAGTCTTTTAGATTGGCAAATATGCTTTTTAGTTGATCGGAGCTGAAAAACTTTGCCAGATTAGGCAGCCCCACAAGTAGCTATGTTACTTTCCTGATTGCTGTTCTTACCAGTGTGAGTAGTCTACTTCTTCTTACTGTTCATCTGACGAAATCCTGATTTTCCTTTATCTGTTGCAGTATTCCTATTAACTTGATTTTTCTTTCAGAGTAGTAACATAAAGATGACACAAAAAAGACAAGTCTTCTTTTCACTTGTCCTTCTCCTTTAATTTCTATGTCACTTCCTTTAAATTTCATTGGACCATATACTTTACTTACTGAAATTAATATTGTTTAATCTCATCCAGTGTGTACACCGGTGTCTCTTCCTCTGAATAATGAATTCATCTCCATGCCAATATATGGGCCATGTTCAAAATTTTTAGTAATTACTTTTTTTCATTTCAGATTGACAATAAAATGTTAGATACTATAATGTTCAAAGGCAATAGTTCTGGGATTTGACAAGAGACATATCCACTTCCTTTGGTCTCTTTATTTACAATGACATGTTGAGATTTGTCAGGCAGTTTGTTACATGCAATAATGTGATTAAGAAACTGGAATGATTTAATTAACTTGTTACACATTAAGTAGATTACAGACTGCTTCACAGTATTGTACAGAGCAAAGTTGTATAGCTTGCGGAACTAGACACATTCAAATTACTTTACAAGGACATCTTTTCTGTAAACCTATATAGATTAGCATTTGCTTTAATTGATTAAATTCAACATCAGTTATTCCATGAACGTGAGTAGGACTGATGTCATATTGACATACCTATACAGGTCCGAGGCATTCTGATTAAAACAATCCATAAATACACCCAGTGGCAGATTTTGGGAACTTCCTTGATGCTCTAAGGTTTAGTGAAAAATTAACAAAAATGAATAACTCTGCTCATTAAAGCAATCCTCTGGGTTTTCTGTGGCTAAATGTTTGTCTGACTGTGGAAACCCTCACTTCAGTTCTTCAGTTATTTTCTCCCAGAGAGCCCTAAGAGAAAAAAACTAACTCAAATTACCAAGCCAGGTAACACACAGACAGACATAGACATGAACGCTTATGAAGGGAGGTTGCTATTTTCTTAAAAATGCTTTTAAAAGGTAAAATGCCTTCTATTTCTTACCATTTTAAAGGTGGTATTATTTTAATTCAATAATACTGCTTTCTCATCTTACCTTTTCATTTCTAGCTATCTGCTTCAAAAGCAAATTGCGTAAGAAGAAAATGTTAATACTGATTATTAAGCCTCTATACGCTCAATTGAAGATCCTCTTAAAATAATGCATTAGGACAGAAATCTATTCAAAAATTACTTTTTGGCAGATAAATTTGGGGATATATTATAGCTGATATTAACTCTATTACACTTAAGTCTGTAATAGCTCTTTCTGTTTAAAGGTCTCAGTGGCCTAAAATCTACATTCTTCTTGAAATTCTCCTCAATTATGATGTAAAAAATGACTTAAGACTGGAGATCCAAGCTGGGGTTCATTTGAGCCCATGTGCTTGAGATGTATGACTGAGAGAAAAAAGCAAGCCAATTCCTGAGTAAATTCTATTACCTTTTCCCCCAGTCTCCCCACTCAACCAAAAGAGCTACTCAGAAATGGTCTGGATCATTCCCCACCTGATATTTTTCAGCACTTAATTCAACTGGTGCACAACTGTTGGTCCTTTTGGGAAGCAAGGTTGAAAATATTAATTATGAAGGCTCTTTGGGTTAGATTGTTAGAGGTCAGCATGTGATAAACGCAGTACAGCGTGTGACCAGAAACACAACCCACATGGAGCCCCTCTGAGGACTGAAGGTGGATCGCCCTTTTCCCCTTTGCGCTGCCCACACTGAGCCGCACAGCAGCGATGCCAGACAACGCGTCCCGCGGCACCGCTGCGTTTGAAAACGGCTGGGCGGGCTCACCCCGCTGCCTGCCTGGGAGGCGCCGCGATTCGGTCGGGCAGCTCTGCCCCGGTGAGCCCGGGG